CCAATGAGAGCGCAAAACAGACTATACTCATGAATATGCATTGGTTTGGTCTATTTAAGTTCTAGTTTTGCAAAGAGTGGCTGTTTTGCATGAAATTCAGCCAACCAATTTCTCACTTTGTCGTGTTTCTGCGTCAATAATCAGTGTTGTCCCGGGGCAGGGGATGGGGAACCGGGTATGGGGCGAGTATTATGTGGAGAAATGATTTATGATCGTGATGTGTTGTTGATCATTCACAAATTTGGCCAACAGAGGGCGCTCGCCTACTCACCGTTAAATTGCCAAAAGCTGGCCTGCCAAGGTGTGTGTGTGGGGGGGGGGAGTCCCCTGTCCCCCGTCGATTTACGCACATGATAATTAAAATGTACCATGGCAACTGTCTGTAAATGTTGCCGTTGGTCTGTTAAATTGGCTTTTTGTGAGGCAGTCGCCTTTGGAAAACGTAGTGAAAAGGTTACTGTAGTACACAGGCGAAGGCTGGTTGTACAGTTTGACAATAAATCATAATGCAATAAAACGTGAAGGTGTCATTTAAAATGAAAATGTTGAGTGTTACCAAAAAATTACAAACGGTCCGAATCATGGAGGAAGGTCACAAATAACTTTCAGTATTGGACTCTTCAACAAACGTATAAACTTGAACTTCTTACAATTTGCGAGACCGTCTGCGATTCAACTTTTATTCAAGTTGGTTCAACCATCTATATATCAGTGTTGTAGGTCTCGAGACCGGTCTCGGTCTCGAGACCGGTCTCGAGACCACTTTTTGCTGGTCTCGGTCTCGGTCTCGGAAGCTGTGGTCTCGGTCTTGGTCTCGGTCTCGGTCCCCTTTGGTCTCGATATTTTGGCTGGTCTCGGGTCGAGACCAGCAATATGTAGCTTTTATAGCTCGATCGATTACTTTTTGTTCACTTCGTTCAGTACAATTGATAGTTAAAACATTTGCTAGCCCGTAGATCAAGCTTGTTATATATCTCGGTCGGTTTGGACTCGACTGCACGTTGGAAAGTCTCCAAAGTACATGTAAAGCTGCAGCAGTACCAGTCACTGAACGATTTGGAACAAGTTCGGCATTTATCTGTTGAGTCGGGCACATAAAGCAAAGAATAAACTTGTAACAATTTATGCAATAAGGGTCAACCATTTTTGGGGATTGTGTAGTTTAGCCCACCCCTGTGGGCGTAATCACTTGCATTTTGTATTCTAATAATAAATGAGGTGCTTCAAATTAGTTATATTTTCGACCCCACACAAAGATCTCTTTAATTTGGGACAGTATTTTGAAGAAAAAGTAAATTTTTCTACCTGATTTTCCAGCATTGAGCTCACACACTCTTACCAGTTACCATTCACTGTTGCCACGAGAGTGTATGATGAGACCCCATTTTCTGGCTGCTCAGTTTGAAGTACCCCATTATTCCTCAAAAATTAAAATCCTGTTCAGAAAAAAAATAAAAATCCATATCTGGCACATTCTGGCTACCACCTCGCAACTTGTGGGTCTACATGTACAAGTCCACATTCTATGACAGAAATTTAAAAATTGATTCAACATTTTTTAGCTCCCATTTTTTAAAATCAAGTTGGCCTACACAAGTCTTGTTAAAAGTTAGGTCCTATATTTATTTTAGGAAAAAAGAGGCACAATGTAAAATTAAAATTGCATCTTTAAATATCCGTTAGAAGTCATAGCTGAAACCAAGGGGTGACTGTTGAGTTTAGGATCCGAGTTCCTATAACAGATGAAACATCTACCTTTAACTTTTACCTTTGTCAAGACTGGGTAACATGTCACGTATCAATTTGTCAACACTGCCACTGGTCAAAATTTTTGTCTGTAATCTTTGTGAACAGAAAGGTTACAAGTTTCAACTATAATAACGTGTCTTGTTTTTTATTTCGACTATTGTTATTTATTATCAGCGGTCTCGGTCTCGGTCTCGGTCTCGGACCATATTGGTCTCGGTCTCGGTCCGCCTCGAAGGGGCTGGTCTTGGTCTCGGTCTCGGTCTCGAATCTTCAGGTCTCGGTCTTGGTCTCGGTCTCGGACTATCCGGTCTCGACTACATCACTGCTATATATAAGAGCAAGTTTTACTTGGCCTCCGAGAAATGTTTGCTTCTGAAAGGATCCGAGACCGTGGCTTCACGTCCGTGGAAAAATGTGGGCGTCTTCCGCCGGGTCGGACACTTTTTCGTCGATTTTTTTGTGACTTCGTTTAAGATCGCAATATTTGAAGCAATGCATCGACCCTTCGTTGACCCCAAACTAACAGGCCCCCGAAATTATAACGCGACACTGAATTATACGTGACGGGCAGCGAACTCACAACGCTCAGCCTTGGAGGTGGAAGCATGGACCTGTAAACACATTATGGAAGCAACAGCACTCTATCACGCGACGTCACATGCTTGCGCTTCAAATAGCGAGCACCGTAGACCCAACCTCGTTTCCAGGGTGTGGAGCAGGTTGCAGTACGCGTTGCCATCGACAGTTTTGCATAGCCCGGAAATACTATGCAATGTAGACTTTCGATTGGTCAGACCGCGCAAGGCATACTAATGTGTAGTCCTTCTGAGTATTCGTTGCACTCGGCGCAGGGGCGGCAAGCAAAGCACAGGAAACAATAGGGACACTTGGTGGCCACGCACCATGGAGAAAAAATATTTTGCCAAGGTCACCTCATACTACCATTTGGTGAACACTTTTGCAGAACGGCTGAGTAGAACACGTAAACGAAACCCCTACGTTGACCTTGCTGACCTCGCACAGTCTAGACTCGCAGAAAAGCCAACACAGGGGGCGGCCAGGCAGTCAACGTGAAAGCGCACACGACAGCAAATTCCTGCGCAAAACGCAGTCACGAAAAATCGACGAAACGGATCGCCGGTCCGTACGGGAAAATTAGGACGACCCGAAGTGTCCGACCCGGCGGAAGACACCCTCCGCATTTTTCCACGGACGTGGAGCGATTTTGGCGCCGCGTGAGCCCGCGGTCTCGGATCCTTTCATGAGCAAACATCGTCTCGGGGGCGAGTAAACTTCTCTCTTATATATATAGACAAGCTGGTTTACCCGATCATAGATCGGGTAGGGCGTAGTGTTGGGGATGAAAATGTGGGGAGTTAAATGTAAATGGGGGATATAGTTGGTGAGACATGCAGTTAAAGAATATCAATTTCTGTGGTGTGATCTGAGGCAATTTCTGATCACTAAAACCAATTTGAACAAAAGATCATCTGTGAAAGTTTTGAGTTTTGAGTAATTGAATCATCTACATGTATTCTGAGCAATAGAATCATTATTGTAGGCTACAATATTTTTATTCGGGGAAGAAAAAGTGTGGGGGGGGGAGACCAAACAATGTCCCCCCTCAAAATGTGGGGGTGTGTGTGTGGGGGGGGGGGTCCCTGTCCCCCGTCGATTTACGCACATGATAATTATGTACCATGGCAACTATCTGTAAATGTTGCCGTTGGTCTGTTAAATTGGCTTTTTGTGAGGCAGTCGCATTTGGAAAACTTTTAAACATCATTTTCGAGTTTGGTGTCATTGAATCAGCTATTCTGAGTAATGGAATCATTATACATGTAGTAGCTACAATTTTTATTCGGGGAAGAAAAGTGGGGGGGGGACCAAAAAAGTCTCCACCGCTTTAAAATGGGGGGGGGGGGTGGAGGGGTTCCCCGTCCCCCACCGATTGACGCCCATGATAATTATGTACCATGGCAACAGTCTGTAAATGTTCCCTTTGGTCTGTTAAATTGGCATTTTGTGAGGCAGTGGCATTTGTGAGAAAACGTACTTGAAAGGCTTGCCGTAGTACACAGGCGAAGGCTGATTAAGAAGGTCATAATTAAGTTTCAGTATATTGGACTCTTCAACAAACGTAAACTTGAACGTCTTACAATTTGCGAGACTGTCTGCGAGGAACTTGTCGAGTCAACTGTTATTCAACTTGGGTCAACCATCTATATAAGAGCAAATTTTACTCGGCCTCCGAGAAATGTTTGCTCCTGAAACGATCTGAGACGGCGGTCTTTCGCGACGCCAAAATCGCTCCACGTCCGTGGAAAAATGTGGAGGGTGTCTTCCGCCGGATCGGACACATTTTCGTTGATTTTTTGTGTGACTGCGTTTAAGATCGCGATGTTTGAAGCAATGCATCGATCCTTCGTTGATCCCAGACAGGCCCCCGAAATTATAACGCAACACTGTGGCGGGCAGCGAACTCACAACGCTCAGCCTTGGTGGAAGCGAAGCATGGAGCTGTATGAACACACGATGGAAGCAACAGAGCACTATACACGTCACTCACATGCTTGTGCTTCAAATCATGCAAATAGCGAGCACCGTAGACCCAACCTCGTTTCCAGGGTGTGGAGCAGGCTGCAGTACGCGTTGCCATCGACAGTTTTGCATAGCCCGGATATACTACGCAGTGTAGACTTTCGATTGGTCAGACCGCGCAAGGCATACTTAATGTGTAGTCCTTCTGAGTATTCGTTGCACTCGGCGCAGGGGCGGCAAGCGAAGAATTATGAAAGAATAGGGGCACTCGGTGGCCACGCACCATGGAGAAAAAATATTTTACCAAGGTCACCCCATATCACAATTTGGTGAACGCTTTGGCAGTACGGCTGAGTAGAACACGTAAACGAAACCCCTACGTTGACCTCGCTGACCTCGCACAGTCTAGACTCGCAGAAAAGCCAGCACAGGGGGCGGCCAGGCAGTCAACGTGAAAGCGCACACGACGGAAAATTCCTGTGCAAAATGCTGTCACGAAAAATAGACGAAAAGGATCGCCGGTCCGTACGGGAAAATCAGGACGACCCGAAGCGTCCGACCCGGCGGAAGACACCCTCCGTATTTTTCCACGGACGTGGAGCGATTTTGGCGCCGCGGGAGCCCGCGGTCTCGGATCCTTTCATGAGCAAACATCGTCTCGGAGGCCGAGTTAAACTCTCTCTTATATATATAGATGTGGACGTCAGGCATTGTGGCTCTGTATTGTATGCACCTACATGTACTTCTATAAATGTTATATCAACAACAGTGACAATCTCGAAAATACTTGTATTCTTGTTTTGTTTGTACTTTCCTTAGTGTTCATCACTAATTGTTGTATGTCATTCTTGCCAGTATGTACATGTATGTGATGTTTGTGTACTAGTGAACCAAAATGTTTAATAAATTTTGAAGAATTTCGATATTGTCAGTGGAATATTGACATGTATGCCTGCTCGGAGTTTTACATTATTTCCACATTTCATTCTTTGCAATTTTCTGCAATTATTGCCAGAATGCTTATCACTAACCATCTTAATGAATAAATGTTGCAACTGAAGTTGAATTTACACCAGACACGTGTCCACAGCTCAGTTTATATCAGTCCTAATTCATGAGGAATATAGTGTATAACGCAACTGTAAATGCCTGACGTCCACATATGTGGACGTTTCGTAAATTGAAAATTAAATATGCAAATTGGCAAATGTGAATATTTCTCCAATTAGTGAGCCTACAGTGAGACACACAGCCAGTAGTATCTATTTTAGTAGCCAGCAAGTACTCTCAGGCACTAAAGGGCAATGGTAGTACTGTCCCAAAGGGAAAGGGATTCTGTAATTTTTAAAATTTTGACGATTTGACCAATGAGAGCGCAAAACAGACTATACTCATGAATATGCATTGGTTTGGTCTATTTAAGTTCTAGTTTCGCAAAGAGTGGCTGTTTCGCATGAAATTCAGCCAACCAATTTTGCGCTTTGTCGTGTTTCTGCGTCAGTAGTCAGTCACAATGTTGTCCCGGGGCCGGGGATGGGGACCGGGAATGGGGCGAGTATATAACCCGTGTAGTACGGCGTTGATCCCCAGTGCAAACCGAAGTAAGCCGCGCTAGGAGAACTCTTCGACGAATCCGCACCGTTTTTGAAGACCACGGTAAAGCGGACTTTGCTCATATTTTTACAAAGACTGTGTTTTTCTATCTTTCATCAGTAAAATATTTTTGTATGTCAAGATTTGATTACCCATTTGCAAGAACGTCAACTACATTGGTTCTAGAGTTTTGTTGTTCACTCTAAGTTCATCATTGTTATGGATACAGACATTTAAAATGTCAGACACCAACAATCTTTCCGTGCTGAAAGCCAAGTTGATAGTTGCAACTAGTTAAACTTAGGGATCGTTTTAATTGAAACATGAATCATTATTATTGTTAGTCTTGATAATGCTTCCATAAGTCAACTTCAACTTGAGTAAACGACTTGAAGGCCTCAGGTTTTTTACCTTGATTATTTGCACGGTGGTGTTGTTTTTTTTGCATGTAGTTGAACCAGAGTTCCCAGGCAAATAGTATCAAGCATCACGATGAAGTCTGTTTTCCTTTTGACTGCTTTCCTGGGCGGTAAGTTTGTGATTTTTCTCATGTTTTATTGTTTGCTATATCATGCATGGCAGTTTGCTTGCTAGCTTACATGGGTGTTGGTTATTGAGTTGAAAAACATATATAACGCATGCTATTTGAATAATTGATTGGCATCTTGCTAAGATTAGGGATTGGTGATCATTAAAAAAGGAAGAAAGGTACACATTCTGCCAGATATTTGCTCATTGCGCATGTTTCAGGTTGTGTTCTTATAATTTGAAAAGTCTGGGTTAAAAACTTTGAATGTTTACATCGGACGTGCCAGTGGTTTTTTGGCCTTGGCTATATAATAGTGTACAACCCAGTTTTCCTATTTTCTTGATCTCCAGATTTTGTTTCTTGAGTGGCTTGAAGACTTAAATAAGTAAAACTCGAGATTTGCGTTTATCGAGTTACAAACGCAGGGTGATTGGGCTGGCCCCTATATTTCAGTGGACATTTCCCAGTTGAGTTGTGAATATTTGAATATTCACATATTTGAATATTCGGCCTTTCCAGTACAGCCATTTTGTACAATATGAAAACATGCACCTTTTTGGTTTGATGAATTTCACGATAATTTACACATATACACGTTATTTCGGGTTTGATGACGTCATCGGTTAAAATACGGAAACTGATTGGTTTAGCTAGTTCATGTGTCCATCATGAAATGAAAATAATTTCTGAAAATATGTCAATTGTAATGATTTTTTTATGTATGAATTGTGGTTTGGTGACGTTACAGCATTTGAAGCCCAAGGTCAACATTGCACAGGATATCATTATTTGTGCTACGAACATAGTCCTCGTACCCGGAGTAAATGATGGATTTGAATTTAAAAGAAAACAAAAAGAAATTTCTGATCATTATCAAATTTTCCCCACAATAACTTTCGGACTGATGACGTCATGATTTGGAAACCTTCCAAAGCCATTTGCGGTTGTCCAAAGAATATCTAGAGGTAATTTTGTAAATTTTGACTATTGGACTTTAATTTAAAAATCACGAATTCCAACCTCCATTTGTGATTTCAAAAGGCGGTACTTTTTTTCCAATCTACCAACTACTTGCTCTACCTCTTGGTATCCAAACCTCTCCACACATGCAGCCTGGGGCATGTCAATCCTGACCAATGTTTGAGCTAGCCACACGACAGACGTACTAGTTGATGGCAAAGCCAAGTTGGCGGCTGCTGCAAAGGCTAAACATTTTGAATGGGGAAGCGCCAGGCTAATATGTTGATGGTCCCTCAAAGGGAAGATTTTAATATTCCAGTGCCTTGCAGGGTGCTATAATTTTTACTGTCGAACGAGAACCTCGTCCATGACAAAATTGTTTATTCTTGCTAGACGTTGTGGGCACTTTTTCTTTCGATTTTGCAATAACATGAATAAGGGCAATTGTTATGCCTTACCCCTGAAAGTTCAAGTACTTTTTCATTTTAAAGCTGTATTGACGTGGAACGGATGTCCTTTGCAAGAATTCTGTGCCAAGCCTTAACAACTAGCAAAGTTCATCCTGCGATTATTCACAAATCCCAAAACTATTTGGGAATGGAACCGGCTTTCATTGAATGAAACAAGTCATGCTTAACGCCAACTCCGGTATTTTTTACAAAAAAAAACTATTCATGCTTTACCCTTTTCTCATAGAATCTGGGGTTTTTTTCCTTGTAAAGTAGACTGCTAAAATATCCTCAACTCGCCAGTCGCGTAACCAGGTTTTTGCTTGCCCGTTGCAAAATATAAATTCTCGTCTCGCTTATAAATTCACAAACCATCCGTGGTAAAAGGTCAACCTGGTCTCCTTATTTTGTGTGCAATGGAGGAATATGCTGCCCTCTTTCGGAATGGTTCACGGACTTAACTTCCCTTTAAAAATCCTCCAGAACCATGAGGTAGCAGACCAGTAAAAAAACTTCCATAGACCCCAATGGTAAATGCTCCCACTTCAAAAATTCGGAAAAAATACTCACAAATCTCCAAGGTGTTTGAGACACACATCAAATTAAAGCTTATTTCATCATCTTTCATTTTCTTTTCAATTTTTGGGGGTCAACTGATGACTTTTAGGAGAAATTTCCATCTGAAGATGATAACCCCTGAAAAAAGTCCTGAAGCCCATCGCCATTTTGAAAAACGATGCCTACACTCCATTGCAAAATAGAGCGCTTTTATGGTCCAAATTACATCAAAATTACACAAAACTGCAAGCTCACAGCCCTGTGCACGGCTTCCACCCATATTTTTTACAAACCCTCAAGTTCATGGCCCACAGCATGCTCAAATACTGAAGATTTTGAGGGCATGCAAATCGTGATTTGGCCGGCGTAGGCAATTTCGGACCGATTTACTGGGTCTGCACCCATGAATGACAAGAAAAGAGAGAATAAAATGCTGAAGAATGTTTTCTAAATTAAAACAGACGTTAAATTGTCTTTGATCTGCCGTTAGTTGGCACCCTTTCGGGTGATGACGCCATCAAGCGGTTTTGTGTTTGACATTCCTCATGCACTAAACACTTCCTCGATTTGTTTTTCTGTAGTAAAATCTTTTGTTTTCAAGTTTTGTTCAGTTCTCATAACACTCACATCGGAAGTAAAGGTTGAATGGTTTTGTCCCCGGGAATCCAAAATAAGACTGTGTTTACAACTTCATGTTGTTTGAATTTCTTTCGTTTTCATTTTTACCTTAAATCGCTTGTAATTTGATACCTTACGACGTCATGAAGAAGTCACAAAATTGTTCACATCTTTGTACTAGGATTCAAGTTCGCACAAGGTTTTATCGCAATCCCGTGAACCACGAAATTGTAATTTGTTTGTGATTTGAGTATTCCGTTTGCATTTGGAATTCACCTAACTACCATCCGGAAGGAAAGGTCATCCAACTTCACGTACACAACACACGTACACAAAAAATGTTCTATTAGAGGACAAATTATAAAGATGGCTCTTCATTTTGTTCATGAGTTATTAATGAATATAAGTAGTCATATGTTCAACTATAATCGCCTATCATTTAATATCTAATGGCTTCATTATGACGTCATAGTAATATGTGCACCCTGACATCAGGGTTGATAGATATTCCAAGTTTAAAAGTTTTCCCACGTATACCGTTTAGAACAATAGTGACGGAGAATTATTGTCAAGAAAAGAAAATGGAGAACGAAAACAAACGATTTCAAAACGGTGTTCAGGTTGAGCATGATCAAGACTCTGTACTGATGACGTCACGCTTTGTTTACTTGTGCGCTTTTCTATGTGGCTACAAAACCGTCGTCCCCACCAGGCTCCCATAAGAAAATACACGTGTAAACAAAGTGTGACGTCATCAGTACTGAGATTTTACACTCAAGGCTATGTTCCAACACCGCAACAGATAATTTCGTTGCAATCCATCGATCATTCGATTCTGCAACCCTTTACATCACCAACATTAATTTTTTCTCACTCTTTTCGTGACAGTTTTCCTGGCCCAATTGACACTGAGTGAAGCCATTAGTTGTTACTCCTGCGCGCCAACAGACAGCGGTTGTAGATCTCCGTTCGTCACGTCCGAGCACCAGGACTGGCTGAAGGCGTGCACCAGCGGCAAAACCTGCTTGGTAAGTGGAGCCAAATCGCTATTCGGTGAGGAGAAAAACAACAACCAATGTTTGTCGGACGTGTTAAAGTGTTTTCACTAAAAACCTTTTTTTCACACAATATTAGTATAAACACAGTCAGACTGTCCGGTTACATCATCTTAAGATCCAAAGTTGACGTGGATGTTTCCAACTCGACAAACAAAAACATCAAACAAATGCGAAATACCAATACATCAAATAAACACAGAAGCAGACGATAACATATCACAGAATAGTAACGGGAAGCTGAACACTACTTCACAATCAACTTCACAACTACTTCAAAAATAAATAATTGAGATTATTAAACCGTTTTGAAGTCCTTTGAAATGTTGCCAAGAAAAAGACATAAATATGTTGTTTGTGCTAAAAGAGAAAAAAAATATTATTTCTCTTCTTGCTTTCCACTCTCGTTGTGAAATGTATTTACAGAAGGTTGCCCTAGAACAAATTGACAACAGAAGGCCGGACCTCTTTTTGTATTTTACAGCAAACCATCAATTCCGACAAGACGACGACTCGAACTTGCAACAACCAAGACACGTGTATGGACGGCACGACAACTAGCTACTATCAAAACTGTTTCAATAACATATGTACAGAGGAGTATTGCTGTACCGGGGATGGCTGCAACTCGGCCCCGGTCGCTGTCTCCTTCAGTGTCCTGCTGACCGCTTTCATGGTTCTGGCTACCTGGGCTTTCAGAAAATAATACGCAAAATTCTGCAACTGCTTGATTCTAATCGTATTTGTTTTCCAAATAGCAATTCAGTTAAAAGGTAGCGTCCGTCATTTGTAATTTGTACATTATGTTCGTTGAAGCAACAAACATGCTCAAAATCTAAAGAAGGGTGCTGAACAACTAACCTGATGAAGTTCAGCTCAGTACAAGTGAATGCTGTATATTCCGAGAAAAACAACATTGGAGGACCTCAATTACAAATCAAACGTCGCTGAGTCATGTTTTGAATTGGGCCTGAATTCAGCCTCCGAGACACATTCTCACTGAGCCGATTGCAACTACGCGAAGTCGCGCACTACAGGGGTCCGTGCATAAGTCCGACGCCTCATAGGTCCGACGCCTCGTAAGTCCCAAACATCGTTTGTCCGTTGTCGGAATTTTGAGGCGTCGGACTTAGGAGGCGTCGGAGCTATGAGGCCGAATCCCAAAGTCCAATGCCTCATAAATCCGACGCCTCATAATTCCGAAATTTCGGACTTATGAGGCGTCGGACTTACGATACGGCCCCGCGCACTAAACCGACGAATTATAGCAACCGCGCGCGCGTGTGTATCGTGTCGACGCTTGCGCGCGTCTTGCCGAATGAAAAAAAAACGAACTAATAACGGAAATTTCCAATGGTTGGAAAGGCCTTCTTTCATTGATTTCTTCAAAATGACAGCTTGCCAGACAGAATCATTTCACTTCACAGAGAGTTACAGTCCTATCACTATCTTTAAACCAAGTATGCTTTCAACAATAATCACGTCAGTTACTTTTTAGATAGCTGCAAATGATGGACGGTACCTTTAAATTTAAACAGTAGTTTACTATATTCGCGGGGTGTCTAAAAATGAAAACGTTTTGTTGTTGTATGATTGATTTGAAAACTATGCCGTACTTGCAATAAACCAATTCGACATCTTATATGAGTAATGAATGAACAATGCAATTTTGGATCAACAAACCCACGTGATGCTGTAAGCTTGCTATCTATTGGTCAAGGACAACGTGACGTGTTTTGTTTATCTCAAAATTGCATTGCTCATGAGAGTTTGCTAATGCGCTAGCGAAATTTGTCGAATTGACTTATTGGTCAGGATTTGCAAGGCGTCCATGGGCGACACTTAAATTTAGCATTGTGTTTTTATTGAAGGCTTCCACACTATGTTGCTTGGGCTTCAATGAGTATTTTCCTAAGGATTAAAAGCGATGGGGAGAATGCAACCAAAGACAGGTAAATGAAGTATATGAACATAATGAGACCCATTATGTTGCACCATTTTCGCTAGGTGCTGCGGCGCACATTGCAGCCAACTGCCAGAAACACCGAGGTAACCCTCTCCTCTTAGTGACAAGTGTTACTGGGTTCTTTAACGGGCATACCACAATACACGGGAACTACGGCTTTATGTCCCAGCCGAAGGACGAAGCAATGATGGTAAAGTGCCTTGCTCAAGAGCACAAGCACCATGTTCCCACGGTCAGGATTCGAACCCATGTACCACGGCACACGAGTCGAACACCGTAACCACTGGACCACAGCGCCCCTATTTTAGCCGTTGTTAATAGGTTGCTACAGGGTGAATCAAGTATTCTTAATACACACATCTTGTCAGTGAACGCAATTTTTAAAAATCCATTAACGAATTTTGAAAACGGAGTAGCTTTTAAATCATGATCAACCAAATTCGGCTCCATTGTAGGGACACCCTGCTCGAACGTTTCTTAAAATAAAGGTACCATGGGATTTATTGTTAAAGATCATACTGTTAGACATGATATTTTGTATCGAAACCAATCAATGTTTATTTTGATTGATTTGGTTTCTCTTTTTTGCATTTTTTTCGTATAATCGGTATTTGTTAATGTATTTAGAACTTTTTGGAGATTTTGTTTTTATTAGGTGACAAATTAGGTTTATATTTTTGAAAATATTAAGACTTGACCACAAAGTTCAATAGCTGCCTTCCCACATAGTCGGAGTTTCACCCGCTGTTGCCACAGAGACCGCGCGCCAGCCAATCAGAGTCGACTTGTGACGTCATTTCCTATCAGAAGTGTTGACTAAGCTGATGATTGGTCGATTTGGCTGCATTTTTTTTTAATACCTGTACAACAACGGGCTACCGAAGACCCGATAGAAGGCGCTAGCTGAATGGTCGGAATCTCGAGGTCAAGACGCTGTCTTGTTTTGCATAATTAATCGCCGGATCTGCTCGCATATTATAACTTCCATAAACTACCTTCCATCCGTTCTTGATGCCAAAATTTTGGCGAGAAGTTTGACAAATATTGTCGAAAAAAAATCATCAAATTACTTGTCCTCGACAATTGATATTGGAATATTTTTCGCTTGGATACAGACTTTGTTATCTCATTCAGTACAACTGAATATCATATGACTGCCGTCTAGTTGTCAAGTTTGTTAATGCAACTGATGTTCACCCTTTCTCATTTCTCTGTAACTTCACCAATACAACTGAATAAAACGAGACGATTGTTTTGGTGACGATTGTAAAATGTGACATGTTGTAGGTTTCATTTTCTTGGCCTTTTGTTTCGCAGTTGATTTTAGTTTTGCAGATTCTTTTATTTTGTTTTTGTTTGTTATCGCAATATGCCAAGGGTGACTTTTTAGTATGTGAAATGGGGGCGGCAAACCAGCCAAATGTAGCGCCCTCGTCGGGAGACAAAAACCATTTCATTTTCCCTCTAAATGAGCCAAATCGTTTCAAATATCAATAACTGAGCTTTTTTGTTTTACAATTTTATTAAAACCACACGCACGTCCATGGTGAACTACCCCACCCGACTACCCGCTACATCTGGACTAGACCCCAACTTTAGTAACTTCAAGGATGCTCTTACAAGAGATTCTGTCTTCTAACTTCAACAGGAGATTTATTCAACAACCGAGATGAATGACATGTAGGAACTGGAAAGCGCCATGTTACGAAACATGAATCAAGAGAGGGCGCTGTTGATATATGAATACCGCAAGAATGAATTTACAAATAAGCGGGTTATGACACCGACACATGTTGTATAATTCGCTCGCATCCACGCCTATATACCTGCAGGAGCTATAGGAAACGCAGACATCTTGAAGCATTGTGGGTAGGGAACTGAACATGATCGGCGCACGTACATTCCCAACCTCGTGTGTGCTGTCATTTTCAAGAAAAGTGGAAATTTGGTATCGTAATAATGTAGGAACATTTGTGTAGTGCCCCTCCCAGAGAGCTGAAGAAAATTACCCCCTTTTAAAAAATACAAGCTTCCATTTCCTAAAAAGTACATGGGGCACTCCTGGACCATAAGAAGGGAAATTAGTGTGGTTTGGCTGGAGAGAATGTTTTCGTCTTCAGTCTAGCTAGGTTTTCAATTTAATAATAATAAACTAAATGTTATTTTTATTCCAGATCTTTTAAACAACTTTTGGTCAAGATGATCTGAGGTTTGATGGCTTAAATGTATTTTGGGTTTGTGTAAATGTTCATGATTACCCAGGGTTTATTATCAGTATTTTGATTACTATATAAATGACATGTTCATATATTGTGTTTTTTTAAACGTTGTATTTGCATATTTTTGCATGGTTCTGATGCTTTATGGTCCCGGTATAGGAATGCAATAGAAAGTTGACTGATGCTTGTAAAGACTTTCAAGCAAGACAGGTAATCATTCCATAATTATTCTTGGGTACAACTAAGCCAAGGATATAACTTTAAAAAAGGACGGACATAAAACAGCAGAAAAGAGTGATTATTTTTGCACTATTTCATTTTCATGACTAAGTTCTAAATAATAAAATTATGGCAAGAAGAAAAATATGTTTTGAATGGGTAAAGAGAAAAAGCAGGAATCTTGCAGTTGAACTGGAAAGAATAGGTGTGTCGCGTCTTCGTCTTGAGTTGAGATTCTTGCTTTGGGAACTGGTTGAAGCATGCACTGGAGCATGCTTGGAGCATAGTTGGAGCTGGTCATGTGATGTGGGTGTCATCGGGAGTCCTGTGTAAAGGAGTAACGAAGAAAACTTGTAAAAAAAAAATACATCGGCTAACAATAGCTACAAATAAATTGTTCCTGTGCGGTTTGTGCCTTACGATTCTGCGCGCCGTGCGTGCTCACAGTACATCGCGCAGTAATCGCCATTTTTATTTTCGGGTCGCTTGTTTTCGCTGTGCTGTCATCGTAATTTCCACCCGTAATTTCCCTAAAAAAATAAAAACCCTGCCCTCTATCTATGATGAGTATGACATACCTGTTTATTGAGTGTCTCCAACTATTTTGGTTGGGCTTTTTTAAAGTGGATTTTGTTCCCTTACAGGAACCGGGCCCTACTACTACATACTAAATACTACACGATCGCCATATCCGAGGCCCACGCGATTGGGTCACACTTTTCACAAACAACAATTGTCATTGCCATTGGGCATTGCCAGCAGTGGTGTTCGAAAGAATACTTATAATCCTTTGCCAGAGGTGTTCGAAAGAATTACTACTAACTATAATCTATAATGTGTCATAGCACAAATCGGACTTACCATTGAAAGAGAACATTGCAGCATAATCAATGCATCAAACGACCATCAAACGAAGCTAGTAGTGCTGAGGAAATGTGGGGCAAGCATGCCTTTAGCTTTGCATGTTGCATGGAATACCGTTGAATGCGCATGCAGCGCATGCTCCTCTATACGAACGTATACGTATACGTACGTGGCACGACAGGTGTAGCGTGAATATCCGACTCCATGAAATTTGGACTCATTGGTAGTACTGCGCACGCGTGAGTACGATACTGTGCTATTTTAAGGATCATTTCGGGAGAGTGACCTGTGACGTGCGAGGGATCAACCAATAATAGGGAAATAGGGGTCCGATTTTCATAGGAGTCGTATTTTCATGTGACACCGGCCCATACCCAAGATGGCCGGCGCGGCCCAATGGGGAAGGGAATTATGGGAAATAGGGCGGAAATAGCCGGGCCCCGTTCCGCATCCCCCGCGGCCAACGGGTGCGGGCGGGACGGGAGACCGGTCGGGAAAATGCCAGCGCCCTCCAACTATTTTCGTGATTGTAGTATAGATGCACCTACATGTACTTCTATAAATGTTATATCAACAACAGTGACAATCTCGAAAATACTTGTATTCTTGTTTTGTTTTGTACTTTCCTTAGTGTTCATCACTAATTGTTGTATGTCATTCTTGCCAGTATGTACATGTATGTGATGTTTGTGTACTAGTGAACCAAAATGTTCAATAAATGTTGAAGAATCATATTGTCAGTGGAATATTGACATGTATGCCTGCTCGGAATTTTACATTATTTCCACATTTCATTCTTTGCAAGTCTGCAATTATTGCCAGAATGCTTATCACTAACCATCTTAAAGAGGTTGTGGAATGCTCGAAGACATTTCCGTCATTTTTTGGGTATATGTAGCCTAAGTTGTGATGAAATAAAAACGACTATTGTTTCTGTCATGAATTGAGTACAAAGGTTACTTTTGAGAGCTATTTTTCAGGTCCTGTTTCGACCCGAACGTGCAATTTGTGTAAAAGTCGTCGTTGCGGGCAGCAAACAAAACACACTAAATTGTGACGTAATAAACAGGACTCGTTTATGCTACTCTGCATCGGGAGTCCTGTTTATTACGTCACGATTTACTGTGTTTTGTTTGCTGCCCGCAACGAAGTTTACACAAATTGCATGTTCGGGTCACACATGCATGACAGAACTTGAAAAACAGCTCTCAAAAGTACCTTTTTGTACTCATTTTATGACAGAAACAATAGTCGTTTTTATTTCATCACACCTTAGGCTACATATACCCGAAAAATGACGGAAATGTCTTCGAGCATTCCACAACCTCTTTGATGAATAAATGTTGCAACTGAAGTTGAATTTTACACCAGACACGTGTCCACAGCTCAGTTTATATCAGTCCTAATTCATGAGGAATATAGTGTATAACGCAACTGTAAATGCCTGACGTCCACATATGTGGACGTTTCGTAAGTTGAAAATTAAATATGCAAATTGGCAAATGTGAATATTTTTCCAATTAGTGAGCCTACAGTGAGACACACAGCCAGTAGTATCAATTTTAGTAGCCAGCAAGTACTCTCAGGCACTAAAGGGCAATGGTAGTACTGTCCCAAAGGGAAAGGGATTCTGTATTTTTTACAATTTTGACGATTTGACCAATGAGAGCGCAAAACAGACTATACTCATGAATATGCATTGGTTTGGTCTATTTAAGTTCTAGTTTCGCAAAGAGTGGCTGTTTCGCATGAAATTCAGCCAACCAATTTCGCGCTTTGTCGTGTTTCTGCGTCAGTAGTCAGTCACAATGTTGTCCCGGGGCCGGGGATGGGGACCGGGAATGGGGCGAGTATATAACCCGTGTAGTACGGCGTTGATCCCCAGTGCAAACCGAAGAAGACGCGCTAGGAGAACTCTTCGACGAATCCGCACCGTTTTTGAAGACCACGGTAAAGCGGACTTTGCTCATATTTTTACAAAGACTGTGTTTTTCTATCTTTCATCAGTAAAATATTTTTGTATGTCAAGATTTGATTACCCATTTGCAAGAACGTCAACTACATTGGTTCTAGAGTTTTGTTGTTCACTCTAAGTTCATCATTGTTATGGATACAGACATTTAAAATGTCAGACACCAACAATCTTTCCGTGCTGAAAGCCAAGTTGATAGTTGCAACTAGTTAAACTTAGGGATCGTTTTAATTGAAACATGAATCATTATTATTCTTAGTCTTGATAATGCTTCCATAAGTCAACTTCAACTTGAGTAAACGACTTGAAGGCCTCAGGTTTTTTACCTTGATTATTTGCACGGTGGTGTTGTTTTTTTGCATGTAGTTGAACCAGAGTTCCCAGGCAAATAGTATCAAGCATCACGATGAAGTCTGTTTTCCTTTTGACTGCTTTCCTGGGCGGTAAGTTTGTGATTTTTCTCATGTTTTATTGTTTGCTATATCATGCATGGCAGTTTGCTTGCTAGCTTACATGGGTGTTGGTTATTGAGTTGAAAAACATATATAACGCATGCTATTTGAATAATTGATTGGCATCTTGCTAAGATTAGGGATTGGTGATCATTAAAAAAGGAAGAAAGGTACACATTCTGCCAGATATTTGCTCATTGCGCATGTTTCAGGTTGTGTTCTTATAATTTGAAAAGTCTGGGTTAAAAACTTTGAATGTTTACATCGGACGTGGCAGTGGTTTTTTGGCCTTGGCTATATAATAGTGTAAAACCCAGTTTTCCTATTTTCTTGATCTCCAGATTTTGTTTCTTGAGTGGCTTGAAGACTTAAATAAGTAAAACTCGAGATTTGCGTTTATCGAGTTACAAACGCAGGGTGATTGGGCTGGCCCCTATATTTCAGTGGACATTTCCCAGTTGAGTTGTGAATATTCACATATTTGAATATTCGGCCTTTCCAGTACAGCCATTTTGTACAATATGAAAACATGCACCTTTTTGGTTTGATGAATTTCACGATAATTTACACATATACACATTATTTCGGGTTTGATGACGTCATCGGTTAAAATACGGAAACTGATTGGTTTAGCTAGTTCATGTGTCCATCATGAAATGAAAATAATTTCTGAAAATATGTCAATTGTAATGATTTTTTTATGTATGAATTGTGGTTTGGTGACGTTACAGCATTTGAAGCCCAAGGTCAACATTGCACAGGATATCATTATTTGTGCTACGAACATAGTCCTCGTACCCGGAGTAAATGATGGATTTGAATTTAAAAGAAAACAAAAAGAAATTTCTGATCATTATCAAATTTTCCCCACAATAACTTTCGGACTGATGACGTCATGATTTGGAAACCTTCCAAAGCCATTTGCGGTTGTCCAAAGAATATCTAGAGGTAATTTTGTAAATTTTGACTATTGGACTTTAATTTAAAAATCACGAATTCCAACCTCCATTTGTGATTTCAAAAGGCGGTACTTTTTTTCCAATCTACCAACTACTTGCTCTACCTCTTGGTATCCAAACCTCTCCACACATGCAGCCTGGGGCATGTCAATCCTGACCAATGTTTGAGCTAGCCACACGACAGACGTACTAGTTGATGGCAAAGCCAAGTTGGCGGCTGCTGCAAAGGCTAAACATTTTGAATGGGGAAGCGCCAGGCTAATATGTTGATGGTCCCTCAAAGGGAAGATTTTAATATTCCAGTGCCTTGCAGGGTGCTATAATTTTTACTGTCGAACGAGAACCTCGTCCATGACAAAATTGTTTATTCTTGCTAGACGTTGTGGGCACTTTTTCTTTCGATTTTGCAATAACATGAATAAGGGCAATTGTTATGCCTTACCCCTGAAAGTTCAAGTACTTTTTCATTTTAAAGCTGTATTGACGTGGAACGGATGTCCTTTGTAAGAATTCTGTGCCAAGCCTTAACAACTAGCAAAGTTCATCCTGCGATTATACACAAATCCCAAAACTATTTGGGAATGGAACCGGCTTTCATTGAATGAAACAAGTCATGCTTAACGCCAACTCCGGTATTTTTTACAAAAAAAAACTATTCATGCTTTACCCTTTTCTCATAGAATCTGGGGTTTTTTTCCTTGTAAAGTAGACTGCTAAAATATCCTCAACTCGCCAGTCGCGTAACCAGGTTTTTGCTTGCCCGTTGCAAAATATAAATTCTCGTCTCGCTTATAAATTCACAAACCATCCGTGGTAAAAGGTCAACCTGGTCTCCTTATTTTGTGTGCAATGGAGGAATATGCTGCCCTCTTTCGGAATGGTTCACGGACTTAACTTCCCTTTAAAAAATCCTCCAGAACCATGAGGTAGCAGACCAGTAAAAAAACTTCCATAGACCCCAATGGTAAATGCTCCCACTTCAAAAATTCGGAAAAAATACTCACAAATCTCCAAGGTGTTTGAGACACACATCAAATTAAAGCTTATTTCATCATCTTTCATTTTCTTTTCAATTTTTGGGGGTCAACTGATGACTTTTAGGAGAAATTTCCATCTGAAGATGATAACCCCTGAAAAAAGTCCTGAAGCCCATCGCCATTTTGAAAAACGATGCCTACACTCCATTGCAAAATAGAGCGCTTTTAGGGTCCAAATTACATCAAAATTACACAAAACTGCAAGCTCACAGCCCTGTGCACGGCTTCCACCCATATTTTTTACAAACCCTCAAGTTCATGGCCCACAGCATGCTCAAATACTGAAGATTTTGAGGGCATGCAAATCGTGATTTGGCCGGCGTAGGCAATTTCGGACCGATTTACTGGGTCTGCACCCATGAATGACAAGAAAAGAGAGAATAAAATGCTGAAGAATGTTTTCTAAATTAAAACAGACGTTAAATTGTCTTTGATCTGCCGTTAGTTGGCACCCTTTCGGGTGATGACGCCATCAAGCGGTTTTGTGTTTGACATTCCTCATGCACTAAACACTTCCTCGATTTGTTTTTCTGTAGTAAAATGCTTTTGTTTTCAAGTTTTGTTCAGTTCTCATAACACTCACATCGGAAGTAAAGGTTGAATGGTTTTGTCCCCGGGAATCCAAAATAAGACTGTGTTTACAACTTCATGTTGTTTGAATTTCTTTCGTTTTCATTTTTACCTTAAATCGCTTGTAATTTGATACCTTACGACGTCATGAAGAAGTCACAAAATTGTTCACATCTTTGTACTAGGATTCAAGTTCGCACAAGGTTTTATCGCAATCCCGTGAACCACGAAATTGTAATTTGTTTGTGATTTGAGTATTCCGTTTGCATTTGGAATTCACCTAACTACCATCCGGAAGGAAAGGTCATCCAACTTCACGTACACAACACACGTACACAAAAAATGTTCTATTAGAGGACAAATTATAAAGATGGCTCTTCATTTTGTTCATGAGTTATTAATGAATATAAGTAGTCATATGTTCAACTATAATCGCCTATCATTTAATATCTAATGGCTTCATTATGACGTCATAGTAATATGTTCACCCTGACATCAGGGTTGATAAATATGCCAAGTTTAAAAGTTTCCCACGTATACCGTTTAGAACAATAGTGACGGAGAATTATTGTCAAGAAAAGAAAATGGAGAACGAAAACAAACGATTTCAAAACGGTGTTCAGGTTGAGCATGATCAAGACTCTGTACTGATGACGTCACGCTTTGTTTACTTGTGCGCTTTTCTATGGGGCTACAAAACCGTCGTCCCCACCAGGCTCCCATAAGAAAGCACACGCGTAAACAAAGTGTGACGTCATCAGTACTGAGATTTTACACTCAAGGCTATGTTCCAACACCGCAAAAGATAATTTCGTTGAAATCCATCGATCATTCGATTCTGCAACCCTTTACATCACCAACCTTAATTTTTTCTCACTCTTTTCGTGACAGTTTTCCTGGCCCAATTGACACTGAGTGAAGCCATTAGTTGTTACTTCTGCGCGCCAACAGACAGCGGTTGTGGATCTCCGTTCGTCACGTCCGAGCACCAGGACTGGCTGAAGGCGTGCACCAGCGGCAAAACCTGCTTGGTAAGTGCACCCAAATCGCTATTCGGTGAGGAGAAAAACAACAACCAATGTTTGTCGGACATGTTAAAGTGTTTTCACTAAAAAACTTTTTTTTCACACAATATTAGTATAAACACAGTCATACTGTCCGGTTACATCATCTTAAGATCCAAAGTTGACGTGGATGTTTCCAACTCGACAAACAAAAACATCAAACAAATGCGAAATACCAATACATCAAATAAACACAGAAGCAGACGATAACATATCACAGAATAGTAACGGGAAGCTGAACACTACTTCACAATCAACTTCACAACTACTTCAAAAATAAATATTTGAGATTATTAAACCGTTTTGAAGTCCTTTGAAATGTTGCCAAGAAAAAGACATAAATATGTTGTTTGTGCTAAAAGAGAAAAAAAAATATTATTTCTCTTCCTGCTTTCCACTCTCGTTGTGAAATGTATTTACAGAAGGTTGCCCTAGAACAAATTGACAACAGAAGGCCGGACCTCTTTTTGTATTTTACAGCAAACCATCAATTCCGACAAGACGACGACTCGAACTTGCAACAACCAAGACACGTGTATGGACGGCACGACAACTAGCTACGATCAAAACTGTTTCAATAACATATGTACAGAGGAGTATTGCTGTACCGGGGATGGCTGCAACTCGGCCCCGGTCGCTGTCTCCTTCAGTGTCCTGCTGACCGCTTTCATGGTTCTGGCTACCTGGGCTTTCAGAAAATAATACGCAAAATTCTGCAACTGCTTGATTCTAATCGTATTTGTTTTCCAAATAGCAATTCAGTTAAAAGGTAGCGTCCGTCATTTGTAATTTGTATATTATGTTCGTTGAAGCAACAAACATGCTCAAAATCTAAAGAAGGGTGCTGAACAACTAACCTGATGAAGTTCAGCTCAGTACAAGTGAATGCTGTATATTCCGAGAAAAACAACATTGGAGGACCTCAATTACAAATCAAACGTCGCTGAGTCATGTTTTGAATTGGGCCTGAATTCAGCCTCCGAGACGTATTCTCACTGAGCCGATTGCAACTACGCGAAGTCGCGCACTACAGGGGTCCGTGCATTAGTCCGACGCCTCATAGGTCCGACGCCTCGTAAGTCCCAAACATCGTTTGCCCGTGTCTGAATTTTGAGGCGTCGGACTTAGGAGGCGTCGGAGCTATGAGGCCGAATCCCAAAGTCCAATGCCTCATAAATCCGACGCCTCATAATTCCGAAATTTCGGACTGATGAGGCGTCGGACTTACGATACCGCCCCGCGCACTAAACCGACGAATTATAGCAACCGCGCGCGCGTGTGTATCGTGTCAACGCTTGCGCGCGTCTTGCCGAATGAAAAAAAAGCGAACTAATAACGGAAATTTCCAATGGTTGGAAAGGCCTTCTTTCATTGATTTCTTCAAAGTGACAGCTTGCCAGAAAGAATAATTTCACTTCACAGAGAGTTACAGTCCTATCACTATCTTTAAACCAAGTATGCTTTCAACAATAATCACGTCAGTTACTTTTTAGATAGCTGCAAATGATGGACGGTACCTTTAAATTTAAACACAGTAGTTTACTATATTCGCGGGGTGTCTAAAAATGAAAACGTTTTGTTGTTGTATGATTGATTTGAAAACTATGCCGTACTTGCAATAAACCAATTCGACATCTTATATGAGTAATGAATGAACAATGCAATTTTGGATCAACAAACCCACGTGATGCTGTAAGCTTGCTATCTATTGGTCAAGGACAACGTGACGTGTTTTGTTTATCTCAAAATTGCATTGCTCATGAGAGTTGCTAATGCGCTAGCGAAATTTGTCGAATTGACTTATTGGTCAGGATTTGCAAGGCGTCCACGGGCGAAACTTAAATTTAGCATTGTGTTTTTATTGAAGGCTTCCACACTATGTTGCTTGGGCTTCAATGAGTATTTTCCTAAGGATTAAAAGCGCACGGGAGAATGCAACCAAAGACAGGTAAATGAAGTATATGAACATAATGAGACCCATTATGTTGCACCATTTTTGCTAGGTGCTGCGGCGCACATTGCAGCCAACTGCCAGAAACACCGAGGTAACCCTCTCCTCTTAGTGACAAGTGTTACTGGGTTCTTTAACGGGCATACCACAATACACGGGAACTACGGCTTTATGTCCCAGCCGAAGGACGAAGCAATGATGGTAAAGTGCCTTGCTCAAGAGCACAAGCACCATGTTCCCACGGTCAGGATTCGAACCCATGTACCACGGCACACGAGTCGAACACCGTAACCACTAAACCACAGCGCCCCTATTTTAGCCGTTGTTAATACATTGCTACAGGATGAATCAAGTATTCTTAATACACACATCTTGTCAGTGAACGCAATTTTAAAAAATCCATTAACGAATTTTGAAAACGGAGTAGCTTTTAAATCATGATCAACCAAATTCGGCTCCATTGTAGGGACACCCTGCTCGAACGTTTCTAAAAATAAAGGTACCATGGGATTTATTGTTAAAGATCATACTGTTAGACATGATATTTTGTATCGAAACCAATCAATGTTTATTTTGATTGATTTGGTTTCTCTTTTTTGCATTTTTTTTCGTATAATCGGTTTTTATTTGTTAATGTATTTAGAACTTTTTGGAGATTTTGTTTTTATTAGGTGACAAATTAGGTTTATATTTTTGAAAATATTAAGACTTGACCACAAAGTTCAATAGCTGCCTTTCCACATAGTCTGAGTTTCACCCGCTGTTGCCACGGAGCCCGCGCGCCAGCCAATCAGAGTCGACTTGTGACGTCATTTCCTATCAGAAGTATTTACTAAGCTAATGATTGGTCAATTTGGCTGCATTTTTTAAATACATGTACAACAACGGGCTACCAAAGATCCGATTGAAGGCGCCAGCTGAATGGTCAGAATCACGAAGTCAAGACGTTGTCTTGTTTTGCATATTTAATCGCCGAATCTCCTTGCATATCATAAACTTCCATAGACTACCTTCCATCCGTTCTTGATGCCAAACTTTTGGCGAGAAGTTTGATCAATATTGTTGAAAAAAAGTGATACTGGAATATTTTTCGTTTGGCTACAGACTTTGTTATCTCATTCAGTAAAATTGAATATCATATGACTGCCGTCTAGTTGTCAAGTTTGTTAATGCAACTGCAATCCACCCTTTCTCATTTCTCTGTAACTTTACCAATACAACTGAATAAAACGAGACGATTTCTTTTGGTGACGATTGTAAAGTGTGACATTTTGTAGGTTTCATTTTCTTGGCTTTTTGTTTCGCAGTTGATTTTATTTTTGGAGATTTTGTTTATTTTGTTTTTGTTTGTTATCGCAATATGCCAAGGGTGACTTTTTAGTATGTGAAATGGGGTCGGGAAACCAGCCAAATGTAGCGCCCTCGTCGTGAGACAAAAACCATTCCAGTTTCCCTCTGAATGAGCCAAATCGTTTCAAAAATCAACAACTGAGGTTTTTTGTATTGCAATTTTATTAAAACCACACGCACGTCCATGGTGAACTGCCCTACCCGACTACCCGCTACATCTGGACTAGACCCCAACTTTAGTAACTTCAAGGATGCTCTCACAAGAGATTCCGTCTTTTAACTTCAACAGGAGATTTATTCAACAATCGAGACGAATGACATGTAGGAACTGGAAGCGCCATGTTACGAAACATTAATCAAGAGAGAGCGCTGTTGATATAATACCACAAGAATGAATATACAAATAAGCGGGTTATGACACCAACACATGTTGTATAATTCGCTCGCACCCACGCCTATGGTCCCAGACCAGTAAATAAACTTCCACTGCCCCGACCCCAATGATAAATGCTCCCACTTCAGAAATTCCGGAAAAAATACTCACAACTCTCCAAGGTGTTCGAAACACACATCAAATTAAAGCTTATTTCATTATTTCAACTGATGACTTTTAGGAGAAATTTCCATCTGAAGATGATCACCCCTTAAAATAGTCCTGAAACCCATCGCCATTTTGAAAACGATGCCTACACTCCATGGCAAAATAGAGCGCTTTTAGGGCCCTAATTTCATCCAAATTGAACGGAACTACAAGCTCCCAGTCCTGTGCACGGCTTCCACTCATATTTTTTACAAACCCTCCAGTTGGCCCACAGTATGCTCAAATACTGAAGATTTTAAGGGCATCATATCGTGATTTGGCCGGCGTAGGCAATTTCGGACCGATTTACTGGTCTGCAACCCTATATACCTGCAGGAGCTATAGTCGTCAAAAATGCTTAAATGGAATCTGTTGAAGGAAACGCAGACATCTCAAAGCATTGTGGGTAGGGAACTAAACACGATCAGCGCACGTACATTCTCAACCTCGCGTGTGCTGTCATTTTCAAGAAAAGTGGAAACTTGGTATCGATTTCCAACGATGTCCATCCGACCATCATTGGAGAAAAAAAATTTCAAGTTCTGCCCCCAATTATTAGTTGCACACATTTTGTTTTCCATCGTCTCATGCAAAGCAAGATAAGCAAGCCTAATAAAGCTGGTCTCAAAGTGCAAAACAATTTATCAAATTCATGTAGGATGACTATTCACTGGATGTGTCCTTCATGCATTTTGTCCATTATACACATCAGTCAGTCAGTCGGCCGGCCGGCCAGTCCTCCGAAACCTCAGATTAGAAACGAAAAAAAAAAATTTCGGGTACAAAACTGTGACTCGAGCCCACAGCCTCGCAGTGCAAAATTACGCAGCTATCAACTGAGCTATCGCACTGCTCGACAAAGCCTGGGGGCCTGGGGGCCCGGGAGGAATAAATATATATACCTGCGTACGTATCATACAAGTATCGTAGAGGGCGCTAAACAACCATGTATGTGGGCTAGTTTGGGAAAAGAAAAATCGCAGCCGACCAACCGACCAGTCGGTCGGGCGGTGAATGAGTCGGGGAATCAGTCAGTTGGGGAGTCAGTCGGGGAGTCAGTCAGTCAGTTCGGCAGAAGTCACTCAGATAGGTACAAAGATGACATCAGGTTGGCCGTCTGTGTCCAGCAGAAATATTCTCTGTAAAATGAATCCTCTTAAAACAACATAATTATTGTAAAATGGTGGTTTGGCTAGTTCTGTTTGACCTAAATTACTGGACAATTTGACTTTTGATATAAATGAAACCCGACATGATTTGTTAAGAATGAAATCTCTCTACTCCTACCTCGATTGATGTCGATTTGTGTTACAGCTATCCCTAACAGTCCAGAATCCTCCAATTTCAATACAAATTTGCACACCCCCTAGGGAGTTAGGGTTCTTACCGGTATACCGAATTCATGTATTCCTCTGCTTGTCATAATGTGATGCACTTTCATGAAAAGGCCAAACTCCTGTTAATGATTATATAATTATTAACAAGATAGAAAGGTGGCCCATGAGCATCGAAGTTGACAACATTCGGACGTGAAAAAGTTGGAATTAATGTGTTTTTCTGCGCTAGTCTTTGTAGAGAGTTTGGCTCAGAACTTCTGCTTGAAATACGTACGTAAGACCATGGCTCAGGTGAGTAATCTAGCGATATCAGACCGAATTTGCAAAATGTAAATTGAAGGGAAATATTTACAGCAATCTACCGCGAATTAAAGGTAATGTATACACCATTTGCAAACATTCAAATACGAAACTGTGATTAAACCATTGTGAAATCCCATACCTTAAAATAATTATATCTTTATCTCCATGTTCAAACGCCACAAAGGAGTATTACAACCCCGCAAAAAATCAAATGTTTGATCTTGGTGAATTTAAATTATTGATTCCAATTAAACGTGATTAATATACTTATTAATAGCCATAATATACAAGACTGCGTCTTGACCTCGAGATTCTGACTATTTAGTGGGCGCCTTCTAGCGGGTTGTCGGAAGCCCGTTGCTGTATTACACAAACATGTCAGCCAAATTGACCAATCAACAGCTTAATCCACATTTCTGGTCGAAATGACGTCACAATTTCCAAAGTCAACTCCAATTGGCTGGCGCGCAGACATTGAACCTTGAAAGTCAGTCTTAACATTTTTGTTCACACTACAAGAATATAAATCTGAGTTTTCATAATAACATCCGAGTTTGCATATATTATTCCAAATACATTAAACATGGTTCTTGCAGTGAAACAAAAATCAGTTAAAATAAACGTTGATTGGGTTTGATACAAAAGATCATGACTGGCAGTGTTATCTTAAATAATAAATCCCATGGGACCTGTATCGTTGAGAAACTTTCGAGCAGGGTGTCCCCAAATGGAGCCAAATTTGTTTTACCATGATTTAAAAGCTACTCCTTTTTCATAACGCGTTTTTTTAAGAATGGATTGCTTGATATTTCATGATGCATGTAGATTTCTTTCTAGGCTGTTTTTTATGTAAGTCTCCTATTGCAGCCGTTCACTGGCAAGAGGTGTGTGTTAATAATTTTTTATTCATCTTGTTAATATATAGCAACCTATACCAACGTGGTATAGCGTGACCCATCCTCGTTCCTTTGGTTCGAGCAGTACGCTCCCACTATACCCGTTTGCCCGAGCTTACCGTTGCTCGGGACTGCATTTAGGAAATAAAATTTTAAAACAGACTTGGCCAAATACTATTATGGGTTTCATGTGCCAAATAAAAGACTTATTCAAATCGACTATGAATCAGTTTACATTGGAGCACAAACAACATATAATTTTTAGTGTGGATGGCTTCATTAAAAAAAAACAATGCACCCTTAAGTTAAGGGTGTACCGGCATTACATTCACTGTGTGGACTTCGGAACAAAGAGGTCCACATAAAGCAGGTAGCAGAGACGTTGTGTGGACTTGCCCGAGGTTATAAGATCATTTAATTTTCAGAGTGTTGATGATTATTTGATGAAAACCCAGATGGCTGGTACCATGAACGCGGTCAGCAGGACACTGAAGGGGATGGCGACCGGGGCTGAGTTGCAGCCATCCCCGTAACAGCACTGCTGGAAGACGCAGTAGTTTGTAGCGTTACATAGGAGATATTCCTCACCCAAACACTCGTCTCGGGTGTTGCAAGCTCGTGATGACACCAAATTGTCGTCATTGTAGGTTTTCTGTAAAATTAAAGAAGAGGTATGGTCCACTGTTGTCAGTTTGTTTTAGTGCAGCTTTCTGTAAAAGCATTTTACAACAGACAGAAGCGAAAGGAGGAAGAGAAAATAATTTTTTTTTTCAATAAGCACAAGAGAGAATAATCGGGTGCTTGGAAGTAGGTCGTAAGGGCGAAAAATGGGTCGATAGGTCAAATTCGTTTTTTTCGGGTAATCGATTAAGCTTGGAAATATCTTTCATTTGATATAAATATTGTCGCAAGGGGGTACAAAAAAAAATCTACTTTAGCATGTCCAACAAACCTTGGGTGTTTTTCCGTCAACGACTAGAGATTTGGGTGCACTTACCAAGCAGGTTTTGACGCCTGGGCACGGCTTCAGCCAGTCCTGGTGGTTGGATGCGTCGAACGGATCGTCACCACAGCCACTGTTTGCTGGCGTGCACTGGTAACAGTTGACGGCTTCACTCGGTGCCAAATGGGTCAAGAAAACTGTCATGAAACGAGAAAAAAAGGTGCGCCACGCCAGTTTTGGTATCAAGGTTTGACATAAAAATTGAAGGGTGGATTGATTTTATCGAAATTATTTTTGTGGTGTTCGAAAACACCTTCAGTAGGAGTCTAAGTACTGACCCACCGAAAGTATTACGAAAAGCGTTTCATGGAATTCTACTTAAATGTATTATAAGTCTTAAAGCCACTCAAGAAAAATCTACACAAGAAGAAAGTAGACAGGAAAGTCGAAACGGAAGATGTTAATGAAGTGCCTTTGTAAGATTCCTCTTGTCTCACAGTACATGTACATGGCCCAGAATTGTAATGACTCGAGTCAAGTACTTGACTCGAGTCCGACTCGAATCACAATTGTTGGTGTCTCGACTCGACTCGACCCCCTTTAGAGTCAATTACTCGACTCGACTCGAGTCCCTCACCAGAAGACTGGACTCGACTCGAACAAAAGCCAATAAGACCCGAGTCCCCCAGGAAATAAAAGCAAACTTCGGCGAAAAAAATATTTGCAGCGACTTGCAGTGTAATTTTGTTACGTTCACATCACTTTGCGAATACACTGCGGTAGAGCGGCCGCTTGTCGTGTACAAACAGCATGACAGACTCCCACCTTGTTTTTCTGGAACGCACAACTATCCCAAAACCTTACTTTAAACACATTTTCAAATTCTTGATTTCGTCATTGGCAAATTGAATTCGAACGCCAGCTATATGTATCCCCTCCTTTCAAAAAATTAAATAGATACATGTCCACTTTTAAATAATCAGGAACAGTTTTGCATGATAAAACTTTGTTTTGATGTTGTGATCAGCGAAGAAAATTTAGACCCGAAGCCATGAAATCTAAAACACGAAATATGAATACAATCTGGCAGAATGTCTTCAATTATTGATATTGTGCAATAATCACCAATGTTCAAAACGTCACAAGATTCCAAAACTATTGTGCATTATCATGCATCACTACAAAAAGATTGTCAACTCAACAACCAAGCCCATAGCAAGCTAGCGAGCCAGCAGGCTAGCAGGCTAGCAATAGCTATAGCAAGTTAGCAAGCTAAAACAAGCTACAGCAAGCTATAGCAAGCTGGTAAGCTATAACAAGCTAGCTAACTATAGCAAGCTAGTTTAAGCTAGCATGCTAGAGCAAGCTAGTCAGCAATAACAAGCTAGCAAGCTAGGCATTCTAGCAAGCTATAGCAAGCTAGCAAGCTAGGCAACCTAGCAAGCTATATCAAGCTAGCAAGATATAACCTAGCAAGCTAGCAAGCTATAATAAGTTAGCAAGCTATAGCAAGCTAACAAGCTATAGCAAGCTAGCAACCTATAGCAAGCTAGCAAGCTAGCAACCTATAGCAAGCTACAGCAAGTTAGCAAGCTACAGAAAGCTATATCGAGCTATAGCAAGCTATATCAAGCTATATAGCAAGCTAGCGAGCTATAGCAAGCTAGCCGCAAGCTGACAAACATGATAGCAAACAATAAAATATGGAAAAATTCTTTCACAACTTACCGCCCAGGAAAGCAGTCAAATAGAGAAAAGACTTCATAGTTATAGGCGTGATCCCTGGAAACTCAGGCTCAACTACATGCCAAAAAAAATCTTAGAAAATCAAGTTATAAAAAAACAATAAAGCCTACAAATCGTTCACTCGAAACAATAAGTTGTCTTTAGGAACATTTTAGTACTCAAAATAATTATGACTCCTGTATCAATTAACATGATCACTAAGTTTAACTATATAAGTTGATGTAATGTGATGATTAAGTTGGAATTATGGACACGAATTGAACTTATCAGTAACACATCTGCATCAAATATTATGCTAGAACTTCAACACACAACATCAGGGGGCGCTGTTGAACTACACTGCATGGGTCATATGTAGCTTGAGTATAACTCCAGCTGACATGCTCATCAGGAATTCACATGTAACGCTGGAGGCAGAACTATGTTATAAAGTGAGATCTTCAGAGACCCTAAAAAAACGGCATCCACAAAGGACCATTTTGTAGAGGCCGTTTAGTTACGATCTCACTTTTACAACGTGTTTCTGTCTCCAGCATTACGTGAGAATGCCTGATGTGCATGTCAGCTGGAGATACTCAAGCTATTATGGTCATTATGTTGCGTTCCAATTGTGTCGTGTTTATCGTGTTCACCGTGAATTACGCCAAGTTCACGAGTGGGTTTCAAATACTCACCACCAACACGCACGTTATGGTTCCCGCCAAAGATTTGTTTAGATGGGCAGACAAGAGTGAAAAAAATGGTGGATTGACACAGAAATTACAGACGATAAACAACTGATTTAGTCACCTATATATCAAACAACTCTTGAGAGCCATTTTGCCAACCCCCAACATAACATCATGTTAGACTGGTAAACAGTCCCGCTACACTCCCTCCCCTAGACAGATTCCAGTGGAGAAGTGACTCGGGCTCACACAATACTTGTGATCACGTTGAAAACTGTTATACAAATATAGATGATTCACGAAAGACAATTACTATATTTTGACGGATTTATGTTTGTTTCTAACTTCATTTGCACATAATGATTAGTTCCCATGATTCAGTTATTGCCAGTTCGAATTCAATAAACAGGCTCACGGCAATTGGCTCCTAATTCTTATAATTTTATAAATCAAGTTCAATTTCTAATCAAGTTCAGTCAATTTGCAATGTTCATGTGAAGCTAGCTGCGGATACATCTTGGCAGCTTCTTTCCACATCTATCCCATCATGTGTCCAGCACGATTGTTGATCCCTTTTTGATTTGGTGAACAATTGGTCGGTTGGTTGGATGGCAGATGAGTCGCAATTAGCGTTGACCCGTACCCCTCGACTTCATATGGAGGTCAATGAACTTTGTATACCTTATTTGTCGCTATTTATCACAACACAGACCAAAACAGGCAATGTGCACTAAAATATACAAGTCCAGTGGATATGCAAGTATTTCTTTTGGTGGACTGACAATATGGAGGGAAATTGTTTAGCCTTGGCGGATGTTTGTACCCTGTGTGTGCTCTCTAGTTTTAGGAATGAAATCTCTATAGTCCGCTCACCTGGATTGATGTCGAATCGTGCAGTCACAGGAATTCGATATCCGTCTCCTGACGAGTTGCGGTATTTATGCTCGTCATAATGTTATCTTTTCACGGGAGTGCACTATGCAATGTAACGCACTCCTTGGAAAGGTCAAACAATTATTAACAATAAGTAATGTGGCCCATGAATAACATCGAAGTTTGCAACTTTCGTAACCGTAAGTTGAAATGTATATGCATCTTATGCGGCGCCAATCTTTAAAGGGGCACTGCGTCCTGAAATCCACGATATTTTCATGTTTTGGATCATATATTTATCCTGTTTCAAACATCTGGTTGAAAGGTAACCATGGTGATGTCTTTTATCGTTCCCGAGAATGGACGAAAGAAAACGGTTGTTTGCATCGGACACAATGGAGTACGCATACGGTTCTCCTGTCGTTTCAGTCAATGTACTTTTACACGTTGTGTGTCACAAAAATTACAATCAACATCAATGGACAAATGTGGTTTCTTACACGTCCACAAAAGGCAACAACTAATAGGCTGGAATCACAACTAGTATGAACAGCCCGACTTTGGGTCGCAAAAGTGGACCCCGAAAAGCCGTTCTTGCACACATGACACAAGAATAAAACAAAACGCCCCGTTTTAAAGGAACCGAGTTGTGTGGATGTTTATATCTTACTTTTAAATATTCTTTCCGAGTAATCACATTTCGTTCGAAGCGCGTTTTGTAGCCCAATTGGGCTCATTCCAGGAGGCAGTCTGGCTCAAAATTCCGCTGCTCGAAATATTTGCGGAAGACCACGGTTTACGTAAATAAATTTAGCGATATCTGGCCGGATGTACATCTTTTAGTTGCAGGCAAATATTTAGAGCAATCTACCCTTAATTAAAGGTAATGTGCATCATTTGCAAACAATCAAATTCGAAACTGTAATTAAACCATTCTTACATTTCGTATTTCCATTCATAAACGCAACAAATGAGTATTACATATCCCCCCCCCCCCATCAAAAATTAGGTTTTTAGCCTTCACCGACGTATAAACACTGTATACTCAGTGGGTTACCTACCGAGACTAAAGCAGGATCCGAGGTCGTAGGTTCGAGTCCCACCCGAGTGTTTTTTTCCAACTTTCCCTCGGGAGGTAACACACTGAGCATATCGGTGAAGGGCAAAAACCGAAATTTTGAATAACATGATGACGATGACGCAAATAATTCCATTTTCCCATCCTCAACCCCTACCGAAAAAAATTGATTTTTAAATATTGCTTTTAATTAAAAGTAATTAATAAATAGCCATATAGGGTCATCTTTTCTAATGCTTTTTACGACCTTTTTTTTATCAATCTTCGCTTATTGCAGTTTTCCATATTTGGTTTGACTTTTCCCATTATTCCCCACGACGTTTTTAACATATCCTGTACATAAACAAACACATGGCTCTTATAGTTCACCGTGTTAGGTGCTTGCCTCGTTTCCATGGAAACAAGACATGACCTCGTTTAAGAATAACTTTGATTTTGCAAATGATTAGCTCAGAAATTCAAAGTTCAGCCCAGCCTTGCTCGTATATAAAACTCAAACGGATTTTGTATTAACTTTATCTCGTAAAGGTCGATTTGTAAAAGTCCAACCAGACTCGGCAAATGATATCAACAATGCTGGGTGAACTTGGCCTCATGGACTTTTATTGGTCCCTGCTTCTGCGGTTGCGAACTATCTTGGACGTAGGCATTATAAGGACAGCACAAACGTCACCCATGACGTATGCGCTGTCTTTATATGGCTACGTCCAAGATAATTCACAGCCTCAAAACCACGATGGCGGCCGACTGTTTCAACGCATTTGCATTATTCGCCAGTCTCGTTAAAAGCGAGCGGTGATGTGTTTTCATAGCCGGGGTGGTTTTTGCACTAAAACATG